AGGAACTTGAAAAAGGCTCTTGATCAAGAATGTTTTCCAGTTCTCCCCAATCTGGAATGAACTGGACAAGATGCAGAAATGTGAGTCATTGAAGTTACGTGGAAAGAGACTTACATTTTCTTTCAGTGTTCCTTATAGCACTTGATAAAGATCTGTGTCACACCTGGGGACATCCCAAATTTTTGGAAAACAATAAGGGGTAGGACAAGGAGTTTGTATGAGTAACTCCTTTTCTAATTTATCAGGGCTGTCTTCTAGCCAGGGTTCAACTTTTTTCACAGTCTGCCAAATCTTTGCAAATGATCTCATGGACATGACCTCCCCTTCTTTCTTGGAGTCTTGCAGCTTCCCTCCAGCAAACGCGGCAGGGATGGTATTGGGAAAGTGGTGATAGCTCTCCAGCTGCTCCGCCGTGACTTTGGAAACTTGATGTGTAAATTTGTGCTTCATGCACAGTTGTCACCTCTGAAAATCGAACAAAGGCAAACACAGGTACTAATTTTAGGCAGCCAGGCAACACAGTAGACAGTTGCCTAGGGCAGCAGACTGTTAAATGCAGCAGAATGCCAAGGCTTTATGAAGACGCAGGCTTGCTGCCACTGCTTTTCTCTCTAAGAAGGGAGCAGTTAGTCCCAAGAAGGGAGCATTAGACCTTTAATCTGAAGGTTGAGATTCGTGTCCCACTTTCAGGTGACAGCTCCCTATTTGGCTCAGGTGATCCTCAGCAGTCTGGGTGAAGGCATCAGCACTCGGGGCGCAGCATGGGTTCACTACCGCCATTTGAGTGAGCCAGGCCCACTCGAAGGGGTGGGATGGGGCCTTTTCCAGCAGAAGCAAGAGCAACCCTGAGTTTCGGACTTCTTTCTACTGCCCCTTCCTGTAGCAGGAGCGGTGTGAGTTGGTGTGAGTGGGCTGCTGCAGGGGAGACAGTTTGGGATCAAAGTGGGAGTCACTTGGGTGGTGGGGAATGGACAGGAGTGATAGCCGGGAGGGGTGGTCTGCCTGGGGTGAGGTTGGGCTCTTCTGGATTTGAGACAGGGGTTAGCCAGGGAACAGAAGAGTGGGTGTGACCGGCTTTCTCCAGGGCCTCCCTTATAGCTGTTAGTGTAGTGACCCCTTCATGTTACTCGTATGGAGCCATCCCAAAGTCCTGCTCACTCCTAGCCTCCTTCCCCTGAGCCACCCAAATCCTGATGACTCTCCCAGCATCCCAGTCGGTCATTTGGGATTACCTGCTGGCAGCTCCTTACCCTCCTCTCTTACCTGACACCTTGCTGGCTCCGTTCATCCCAGTCCTCCAGCAGCCCCGCTTCACCCCACCTCTCGTCCTCACAAAATTTCACTGACTTCTCCCACCCAGCCCTGCTTTGGCAAACAACTTTGCCAAAGCTGTTTGGGCTTAAAAAAATAACCCAAGCTTTTTATTTACAAAATTGAAAGCTCACTTTCAAGATTTTGGTGGCAAGTAGAAACAGGCACAAGGAAGAGGGATAGACAATATTCTTTGGACCACTGGCCAAGTGCTTTGCAGCTTTCAGTCTGGAAGTTGCTGGCTGAGGCTAAATCCCTCCAACAATGCCTCACCTGCTATTACTACTTCATCTGAAGTCATAAACACAGCCAGTGACGAAATTATTTCCAGCACATTAAAAAGGACTCACTTCCATATTTCACATCTTGACTCAATGGCAGTCGCTCTCGCCAGCAGCAGAATTTAGGTAGAATTCAGTTTCAGGCATCTCCCGCTGAAGCATCTCCTTTAGTTGCCGCCTTTGACAGGATATTAGGTTGGCTGGATAAGCTATCTTATCCCGTACAGCAGTTCTTGTGTCTCGTGTTTCAAAATCAGATCATTGCCTTGCTGGTGCTTTTTGGAGGTCGAGTTGCTACTAGCAGTATTCACACCACTTTGCTGTTGTTAATCATCAGCTGCCTTTGAATATTAGTACTTAAAATGAGATATTTAATTAACGCCGTGTGTTTCTGGACCAAGTTTCGTGTGAGCATCTCCCAGACTTTACCAGCTGGAAAGGTTTTCATTTCCACGATGCCACAGTGCTGGAGATGGACCACTGCTTCAGGGCCGTGCGGTAGTACATCCTTGTTGCCCTGCCGAGTGCTGCGGCTGCGCACATGCGCCCAGAGAAGCTCACACGAACACGGACATTGACATCACCCGTATTTGTGGAAGTGCCTCATCGGCTGGTGCCGTCTCACATTCCTGGCTGGGAGAGGCACTGGGGCGGCTCGCCACGGTTTACTCCTTTCTCAGAATCCATGAGGAGTCTTGGTGAGGGTGAAGCTTGGAGATACACCTCTCCCACCATGTCATCTGTTTACATGGTGCATGCCTTGTGTGCGTGTGTGGGACAGTGAGGGCTTTTTTTCCCCCTGTCCTAGTTCTTTCTTCTGGCTGTGGTGAGATGGAAAGGTGGGACGCTCTCATCTCTGCCAGCGAGAAGGTTTTCTGTATCTGAGGCTGGCTTGGAAATTCTTTAGGTGACATCACACCATGTCTGTGCAGACTCATTGTTTGTCATGGAAAAGCCATTCATCCATACACAACTTCCTTCCTCCCCAGACTCCCGGAGATAAACTTTCCATTCTGTCTATTCCCTATAGAAACAGACCCAAAACATGTATGCGTGGCTACACACACATACACCTCGCCATCCCTCTGTCACGCTTGGGGCTGTGGGAGGAGGAAAAGGGAGGATATAGAAGATGTGAATAAAGTCACCCTGTTTTCTTCAGACGTGGATCCTGCTGTGCCTGAGCAGTAAAACTCCCCTCCCACCAAGGTTCTGGGTCACACAAGGCTTTTTTGTCCTGAGGCTAATTCTGGCACTCGCAGCCCCACATCTGCCTGCCAGGTGAGATGGGCCACCAGCTGCAGGTACAGCACATCTGGATGGGGGAGGAAGCGAAGCGTGCCGCAAACAAACACAGCAAGTCCACCGTGGCGGGTGCGAGGAATTTGATAAAAAATACACTTCAGTGGTCTGAGCGGCCGAGTCTGGTGATTCATGTCTCGGGCGCTGCTCGTGAGGCGAAGTGAAAGGCCAGGTACTTGCGGGTCTTGGACCACGTACGCCACGGCCGCAACCTGGGAATTGCTGGAAGGAACCCGCACATTCAGCCTGTGCTCGGGGAGCTGCAGGGGCAGGGTCGGGGGGGACGCCAAGCCCGGCGAGGAGGCTGTGTGGGAGAGGAGGGGGGGTGCATTTGTCTGTGGCGGAGAGGTGGGGCCCGTGTGGCACAGGGTAGGACAGGACGGTGGGAGGCCATGTAGAGATGGAGGCAGCAGCAGCAGTGTGGATGGTGTGGTAAGGTGGCTGTTTCCCTGCGGCTTGAGGGAGTCAGGGTGTGAGGAGCGTTTGTTACAAGTACTCACACGGGTCCCGGATACCTGCATTTGCTTTCCACCGGTGTCTGGGGGGGGAAAGGGCTGAGGAGCTGCCAGATTGCCCCCGCCTTTGAGGTTCCCGGTGGGTCGAGAGGGAAGGGAGAGGGATGTTTGGACAAGAGGAGCCTTTGAAGCTTTTCTCCTGTCCACCTCCCCTGCCCATAAAGCCATTAGGGCCTGGTGCCAGCCCTATCTGTGCTCGTCGCTGGTAGCCCAGACTCGCCTCGCAGACCCCCCGCCCGGGGCGCGGGGCTGGGGCCATGGCGCGGGGCCCTTCTGGAGGCCGTTTTAGGGAGGGGGCAGCTTTATTTCCGAGCCGGCCCTGCATTACAAAGGCAGCGGGGCCAGCGCGGCGCTTTGATGTGCCCCGC